TATCTTCATATAACTTGCAGCCTGGGGATGGTAGAAGTCAGTGACAGCTGGAATTCCAGGTGAGAGTCCCATGACACTCCCTTCCTCCTTCTAGTAGTGTTGATTACCATTGTCACATGGCAACTTCAAAATGATGATAGGGTGACTATATTGTGTACAGGGGAAAAAAAGGTCATGCTATAACAAATGACAGGGACGCAAATGATAGGGACACAATGATAGGGGTACTGCAAATTCTGCACTGTAAGAGCACATTTGTATTTGTTCTATAGGAACACACTGAAAATGACTTGTTTACTTTGAGTTAACTTTCAACCTGGACGGATGTCATCCAAACAGCTGGCTCAGGGAGAATGCTCAGTGACTCTGGCGAGATTGTGAAACCCCCACCCCCTACCTCCTTCACTCCTACCCCCATCACATAGAGCAGAGTAGAGGAGAAAAGCACCAACACCATAAATCTCAGAGATAAGCCTGACATCCTGGTTAGAGGGGCAAGTCTAAGCTTTGGAATGATCGATTGTCTCTTCTCCTCTCTGTATGTATAGTCTGCTGGCTGAAGATAAGATGGAGGGTAGATCTTTATGCTGATTCTCAGATTGCTGGCTCTCAGAAAAGAATCCAAATTAAGGATTTCAATCCTTCATTTTTCCCATGTCAAGAGCAGCAGGGCCTCTTACACGAATATATATCTATAAAGTAAAATTATTTTGTATCACCTCTCTGTTGTGTTTCTGTTTACAAATTTCATATTCACATACACATATTCAAACTTATAATTTCATTGTAATTACTTATCTTTAGGTTGGCTTCTCATTTAATATGATTTACCACAATTATTATTTATACTTCAATACTTTTTGTGAGCTTAATATGATAAGAGTTCTTTGTGGAGCATGCATAGCTTTAAGTGAATTCTTTTTTGTCCATCTTTTTGTTAATGAATGGTTCCTATTTGAAACATGTCATCCTAATATATTAACTGTAGCATAGGCAAAATTTCCACACTACTATTGTCTTCACATTTGTTATGAATTGGAGGTTTCATCCTTGTGTGTTTTTGTAAGTAGAGTCTCATCACATAGTCCGTGCTGAGCTACAACTTGCCAGTCTTCTCACCTTAGTCACCCATGTGAGAGAATTTTAGGCAATGACAGCACACCCAGTTGAGAATATGGCTTTAGACGGCTGTAATTGTTTTATTTAAATATATAGTTCATCACAATGGGAATTGAGCAATACTCTAGGGAAGTGCCCAGGAGATTAGAGTGATATGAATTATGGAGGCTTCAGGGAACTGTGGGAGAGCTTTAGAATAATTTTAGATTTAATTACTTGGAGTTTCCAAGGCTGTTGTTTTGAGGGCATTTCTTATAAGGTATAGGTACTATGTTGAAAAGATCAAATATAATCTAGATATTATGTATAGTAACTAATATTATTTATGAATTTACCTTTAAAATGCAATAAGGGCCCTCTCTGGGTGCTGCTCACTGCCTCAGAAAGCAGTGTACACATGTAGTATCTATGTGCTATGAATTCTTCCCTGAAGGTGGGGTTTTACTTTGGTACCTGGTGAAATTCCAAATATGTTTTTATAGTCTGTTCTTTTTATTGTTTCTAAAATTCATAGGGATTACTTCAAAATAATCACACAGATCATACAAATATATATATATATATATATATATATATATATATATATATATATATATTCTGGGTTTTATTGGAGCTCTAGGAAGAGATAGATAGGTCTTCAGAAAAGGATATTAGAGCTAGAGAAAGGAGATTTCCCTGAGCCCCGGAATCTGAACTATCCAAGGATGAGTTTCTTTTTTTATGTCTTAAACTGCCTGGTCACATAGGTGCTCACTGAGCATCCTCCCCACTTTGCATTTCCAGTAGTCAATGGAGTGAAGAGGTGATAGTTGTATCACTTGGTCCCAGAGCCCTCTTAATACAGAAAAGAAGGAAGGCATCAGTAAAGTCGTCAGAGTACCTTCAAAGAGGATCTGGGCCTAGTGGCAGGGTCAGAACTAATGGTAGTGGTTGGGAAGCAGGGGTGGGGACAGGCAGTTTAATCTGACTGAAGTGAAGAGTTGAGACCTTTCAAGGGACATAATCAAAAGGCTATCCTTAGTTTGGGCCAAAACTGTAAATTAACTCATTTTGTTTTTCTTAATGTAAGTAAGTGACTTTGCATTGATAACCAAGCTTTATATCTCAGGGTCTGTAATATCAGAAAGATGGATCCACCATGGCAGCTATTTGCTGTTTTTGTCCTAAACATTCCTTTTACTTCACACTCCAGACTATGTCACAGATAATTTACCTGAAATTTCATGCAATTTTCTATTACAGACTCTGTCACTCATAGATTTTTGATAAGCATGGAGACTAGGCCTGTTGGAACAAGAAATAGCAGGACATAGGAAACCCTGTGTGGCCATCCCAGGGTGGCCAACCAATTCAAGAACAGAGTCTCTAGACCTGAGATCATCAAGAACACACCTGCAGCCAAGAAAGTTGATACATTACTCATTGCAAGAGGAAAAATGCACACCATGGAAAACGACAGAATGTCTCAATAAGATGGTATTGGTGTGACTTAGAGGACTTTGATCTGTGTCAGGTGGTTTGGGGGTGAGGCTGTCAGTAAGTACCATTCATCCGCTGATTTTCTCTCTTAATTAGATTTTGTATAGGAGGGCAGAATACAGCAAATCCAAAGCTGCCATCAATAAAATGCGGGAGTTACTTGGAATCTTTAAATTACAGCGTGTAACCTAAAGTAACAATAGAAACCTGAAGAGTAGAACAGAATCATGGGGGATGGAGGATGGAGGAGAAGGAGCCCTAGAGAGGGGCTCAGATCCAGACACTATGCAGGGGTAAATGGGAGGCCAACCAGCTGTTCAAAGCGAGTTTCAGGGCAGCCAGAGCTGTAATATAGAGGAACCCTATCTCAACACCCCCACACTGCAAAAAAAAAAAAAAAAAAAAAAAAAAAAGACGCCACGAATTTGATAAGGAATGGAAGGAATGGGGTGTAGGAGTTAGGAGTGGAAGAAGAAGGGGTGGAAATGATGTAAATGTAGTACTCATGTGTGATATTTTCAGAAAAAGAAAGAAAGAAAGGAAGGAAGGAAGGAAGGAAGGAAGGAAGGAAGGAAGGAAGGAAGAAAGAAAAATAAGTCATTCGGAATAGTCAGGATAAGGATGGTCATTTCTGATTTTCATTGTCTTGGTTTCATTTTGTTCATTTCATTGTGGTTACAGAATGGCTGATGTGAATTCAATTCGCAGCACCCACATGGCAGTTCACAAACTTTCTGTAACTCCATTACAGTGAGTTTTTAAATTTTATGAAGGTAAAATTTGACAATTATTTTGCCAGGTCCTGCCAATGATTTTTTGCAATGGTGCATTGCTTTCCTTCTCTGGTAAAAAGTAGTAACTATGCAATATGTCTAAAACTACAAAACTGAAAACTAAGGTTGTCCGAATAGTCACCATTCAGTGAAGCTGGACTTTATTTTGTAATGTCAGAAGGAAACCTTAAAAGGTTAACTATATTTGGGACTAAAGCGATGGTTCAGTGTTTTAAAGCTTGTGTTGCTTTTGCAGCAGACCCAGGTATAATTCCCAGCATTCACATGGTGGCTCACGACCGTCTGTAATAGGATCTGATTTCCTTTTCTGACCTCCTCTGGGACCAGGCATGCACCAGCACATACATGTGAGCAAAACATTCATACATATAAAAAATAGAATGCAACTAAATTTTTTTTAAAAAAATGTTATCTGTTTGACAGTGATTTGTGGTGTAGCTAGCTATTCAAATCTCTATCCTCCTTCCACGTACTTTCCACTTTGTCTAAATTTGATGAGAATATCTATTATGGTCATAAACAAAGTTTATAAAAGTATACTCTAATTAAAACAAGGACAGTTGAAGTAGTAGAAAATAATAAAGGTTTTGATCACCAAATAGTTTCAGGTTTCAGTCTTGGTTCTATAATATGTGTTGTAGAAATACTTACAATTCCTAAACTCCCTGCTTCTCTACCCACAGAAGACAATTCCTTGTCTTATTTGGATTTGTCACATGATGTTGAAATAAAAAAAAATCAATGAGGATCACATGAGAGATAGTTCTCATTCTGCCTAAGATGTGATGCTGTTTCCTCATAGCTAATGAAACAAATTCTAGAGCTGGATCGATGATTCAGCATCTAGTTATGCATACTGTTCTTGAAGAGGATCTGACTTTAGTTCAAAACCATCTGTTAATCCAGTTCCAGACTTATCCAGTATCTCTGGCTTCCAGAGATCCTCTGCTCCTCTGCATACATGCATGCACACAGATATGCACAATTGAATAAAATAAAGTAAAAAATTAAATACTTTATAATGTAAAATAAATAATAAATCATCGTGATGTTATGTATAAAGTCAGTGATAATTTAAAGAATAATGCTTCCTAATCAATGCTAATTTTTTCTTGCTTCTTTATTTTTATCCTCTTTTTCAAAAATAAAATTGAGGAGACACAGAGACCTGAGTTTAGTTCCCTGATCTATGTGAGGTGTTTCATAACCACTTATAAATCTGGCTCCAGGAAATTAATTCAACATCCTCCTCTGTTCTCTGAGGGCACCTGACACACACACTCGCATGTGAGCATACACATACACCATGCAAATGAATGAAAACAAAAAATTCTTTAGAAAACTTGAATATTTTGGAAATGTATTTTAGAAGCTATTCCATAAACTAAACTGTTTGAAACTTTCAAGTCTGTATTGGCCCTGTAGAAACTTCATATTGACTTTGTTATACTAAACTGTCCGTTGTAAAGAAGAGACTTTTCGTTTCAATCAACAAGAATCTTTTAGAAGAGAAAGCATTGAAGTGTTGTGTTACCATAATGAAATACCTGGACAACAAACATGAAGAGTAAAAGGTTATTTCGGCTCAAAAATTTCAAGGTCGACGCCATGATGGGGCAGATTCATTGCTTTGGGCTTCTGAAGCAAGTGTTGAATGGCAATGCCCAGAAGACTTTGTTGGATCAATAGGTTCATCTCATCAGCCAAAAAGCAAATGGAGAGAATATCCTGGTATCCTAAAACCCCTTAAGGGTTTATTCCCAAGCATGCAAGAACCTCCCACTAAGTCCCATTTCATAAAGGTTGTACCACCTACCAGTAGTATTTTCTTATAATAAGGAAAACAATAAGGCTTTGCTACATGAACATGGGGTTCATTTAGACTATACACATGATTTCCTTCCTGCTGAGTTGTTCTTAATTTCAATTAGACACCTGTTGATTACCACAGAGATTTGAGTGCCACTTAATGGACCTTTGTGGATTTCTTCTCGTTGTTGAGGGTCATGGCTGAGAGGTTTGTTAACTGCTTCTCTCCCTTGCATAGTATTTTATGATGCCATTGAAGCTACTTCACATTAAAGAGGCTCTCAGATCCATTTGAAATAATCTGAGTCCTGTTTCCTAAATGTGTGGTGTGTTCAGAAATAGGGGCCCACCCTCAACCTCTGAGAAGCAACCAAGGATAGTTGCCATAGTCTATATGGTTTGAGGGTAACCAGAACTTCCCATGATGAATCATTTGAAAGGAGATTTCTTATGCCTGGTACCGGAGATTTTGTCAATCTATAGTTATTGGGGAGAGCCTTGTCAGCCCTTATGGCATAATTTCCTTTAATGTGTGGTGTGGTGTGTTTGTGTGTACATATGTACTTACATGTATTGTGTATGATTTTAGGGGAGCATAAAATACTGCTTCCATGAGGCTTTATCAAATCATTTTGGTGTTATTTGTCCCTTTTTCCTTTTCCTGTACTGTCCTCTCATTCCATACTCAGTTAGAGTACCCCTCTTATTTTTCCATTTCCTGTTTCATATAACCTATATCCTGATATTCCCCTCTCATACTCTCCAGTGGTCCCATTATACTTTTTATTTGTGTGGTTACTCCATGTTGTATACTCTCATCTGAAGATATAGATCTAGGAACCATAGATAAGAGAGGGTTTGTGGCATTTGTCTTTCTGGGTCTGGGTTACTTCACTTAGTTCACTCAGTACAATCTCACCTAGGTCAATCCTTTTACCTGAAAATTTTGTGATTTCACTTTTTTTTCAGCTGAACAGTATTTCTTGTATATATGGAGTGTGTGTGTGTGTGTGTGTGTGTGTGTGTGTGTGTAATATGAGTTTATTTAAGCCAGTGACTGGCAGCAGGCTCCTGCCACAAATAAATCTCTGCTCATAGAAAAGTAGGCTAAGAATTTTTAAATGTACCAGGACATTTTCATTATTCATTCAACTTCTGAAGTACATTTAGTTTTTTCCCCATTTCTTAGCTATTGTAAAGAGATGAATTTGGGGGTTCTTCATACTGATTACTAGAGTGGCTGTGTAAATTTTCATTCCCAACAACGGGGAATAAAGATATGCCTTTCTCCACAATCTCATTTGTTGTCACTTGGTTTGTTGCTCTTAACTATTCTGGCTGAGTTAAAAATGAAATCTCAACTTCTAAAAATTTTCCATTCCCCCAATTGCTAAGGATGATGGACATTTTCTGAGGTATTGATTAGCCAGTTTTATATTCTAGTGAACTCTTAGATCCATAGTTCATTTTCAATTGTGTCTTTTGCTTCCTTGACTCTTTGTTCTTTTGAGTTATTTTTTTTTTATTTTGAATATTGAGTTCTTTGTCAGATGTAAGAGCCAGCAAAACTTCTTTCCCATTCTGTGGGTTTCTTTTTCACTTGATTGATTGTTTCCTTAGATGTACAGTAGTTTCTTAGTTTCGTGAGGTTCCATTTGTCAATTGTTGACCCTGATTCTTTGACTAATAGAGTCCTGGTTTGAAAGTCCTTTTCTACACCTATTCCTTGTAGGGTATTGCATATATTTTCTTCTGGCAGTATTGTGTACATGTGTATTTTAGTGTTTTATATTTCAAAATAAGGTCTTCAGTCCACTTATATCTATCTACCTTTTGTTCATGGTGGTAGACTTAGGTCTAATTTCATTTTTTTTTTTTTGCATGTGGACACCCTGTTTTCCCAATACCATTTGTTGAAGATGATGTCTTTTCTCAAAGTATATGTCTTATTGCCTCTGTGAAACATCAGGTGTCTGCAGTTATGAGTACTAATGTTTGGATCTTCTAGTTTGTTCCATTGTTCTACATGTCTGTTTTTGTGCCAGCACGGTATAAATTTTATCACTATAAATCTGTACTATCTCTTGAAGTCTGGAATGATAATCCCTCCAATATTCCTTTTGCTCAGGATAGTGTTGATTTCCAGCTTTTTTTTTCCTGGTTCCATATAAATTTTCGAATGGGACCATGACAGAATGCCACAACTAAGCACAAAGTAGTAGAAACCAACAGATCATGGTGAGCCCAGCCCCAATGGATGCACCTACATCACAGTTCCTGCTATTATGGTTCAGAAAACATTGATGAAGAAAGGGTTGAAAGTTTATGTTAGAGACCATGAAAGAAAGCCACAGATCACATGCATTAGTGGTATAGTGGTGAGCATAGCTGCCTTCCAAGAAGCCACAGGTCACTGTGGATGTAAGACCAAATATATGTCCTTTATTTAAGCAAGTGATCAAGAAAGAATAGGCTCATGCTAGAAAGAATTCTTTGCCCAAAGAAAGGCATGGTAGGGTTTTTTAAACCTCAAACCACAATTACATCATACTAGAGGCAATTGGGTGGGGGAATAAAAAACTTCAAAAGTTTCAACTAACTTAGTTAAAACAACTTCTTTTATGTTGTACAACACTGCACTTCAGAAAGCTGTAGGTGTTTAGGAGGCATCCAGGAGCCTACCGGAGCTACTTTGGGCTGTTTAGTTATAAGAACCAGAGTAGCAGGAATTCTGTTATGAGACTACCTCTCTTTAAAATACATTCGTAAATAAGAGCTGAAGAATGGCATTATCAATAAACATGATAATGCATAAGGGGGAAAATCTCATGAAATTTTACCCCAGGACAGTGAACTATAGGAACTGATGGCTGCTAAGAGAAGGAGAGTCATCCTCTCCATGGATGAGCCCAGTAATTGCTTGTCCCATACAAAGTGGTCACCCCCTGAAACAAACCATATGCACATAAAAAACCATCTCAGAAGATTATATTTATATATTTGTAAACACTCACAACACACACACAAACAGAGGGTGGGGTGGGGGTCTGGTCAGCTCATTCAGTGGCTGGACTTCATTTATCAGAGCACACCAACCTAGACTGGACTGCCAAAAAGTTTGAGGAGGAAAGTTCTGTTGATGTACTTGAATCCAGATCCCATTTCCTTTGCCCTTCTTGTAAAGAGGCTTGATATGATTGCAGCTACATTTGTGTCTATAATCAGTAAGATGTTTATCCACATTGACTACTTTCACTCTAGTTCCATGAAAACATCACAATGATCCAATGAACTTGGCTTGTTCCTTTATCTCCCCTCACCTCTCTCCTCTCCCTCGCCACCTCCTCTGAATTTGTGTGTATTCTATCTATCCAATGGGGTGAAGGTAAATTCCACATGATGGTTTTCAGAACATTTTGTTACTTTGTTCCAATGTATGAAAACGAAGGGTGTTACATGACTGTAGTCACAAAGGGCTCAGGTATGCCATGGTTCTTAGTTCTGTTTCCCATGGTAACAGCTGAATGTCTCCAGACAAAACTTGTACCCAATTAAGCCTCCACAACTTCAGAGAGCTGGTGATTTAGAGATCAGATAATTTCTTGAAGAGTAGGGGAGGGGAGAGTAGATCTGATGTAGCAATAACAGAAGTACAGTTCACAGTGGGAGCTTGGAGCTCTCCAAAAAAAAAAAAAAAAAAAAAAAAAAAAAAAAAAGAACATAGTGTAGTGTGACCAATACCAAGCTGAGAATACAAAGTTCCTGGCATTTGTGGCAACAAGTACCAGAGTCCCAAACCTTCTCATTCTACTTGGCTTCAGGTGTAGCAGTGGCTCAATTTGAAGTGGCCCCAGGGTGTTTGATGGGTAGAAACCTTAGGAGGCAGTAAGAACCAGAAGTTGGTTTTCTCTGCCCAAGCCCAGGAACCTCCTCTCTATGCTCTACTGGAAGAAACTTCCTGTAAGGACTTCCATCTTGTAGCTGACTTTTGGAGCCTTCTGTCATCTTTCTCAGCAGCTTCCTCAGTTTTTCAGCTGTACACCACACAGCTTCTCCTCCGAAGGACACAGTAAGGAGATTTGTGACAAGGTACTTAAGGACCTACCATGGGTGAGTTGATTAGCATGTGTTTGCCCAGGTTTTCTTAGGGCAAGGGTGATAGTGCCCTTTCCTCTTCTCATATGGCCCTTAGGTGACCTCTATAGGAACAGGGTGGGAGTAGGGTGGCAAGGCCCCTCAAGCTATTTAGTTTCCAGGCTTCAGAAGATGAGGATCAAATGAGTACTGAGGTGATTGTTGTGCTTCTTCATGGAAAGCCTCCCTTCTTGAGCAGGTGAAGTGAAGCCCCCTTCAACCCCCACCCCTGTTGAGAATAAAGACAGGAGCTTCAGTTTATCTCAGGTCTAGGATTTGAGAAATAGAAAATATGACCTAGAGTAGGGTTTGGTGGAAATTAATATCCTTTGGATTCTTACTAGTGTTAGAAGAAGAACAAGGAAGAAACTTATTAGTACTGAATCTACTCTAGTCATTCAGAACATCACATTACTCTTATGGAAGTCTCTCCTATTGTATGAATTATTCTGGGATGTGTTCCGTGTGTGGGTTCCATAATTAAGTACATTTGTTATCTATGTACATGTAATATGTAAGATCATATTTTCCATACGTATGCCTATGAACATAAACAACATCTTGGATTGTCCTTGAACTCTTGGCTAACATGATCCTTTCTTGGCTAACGTAATCCTTTTGCATTAGCCTCCCAAGTATCTAGGATTACAGCCATGTGATACCATGCCTGCTTTGTTTCTCAAATTGTTTACATCTTCCTTATTCTGATGAACTAACAGATAGATTTATCTGTTATTTAAAATCTATTTTTCCCCAAATTGTGTATTTGTCCACTTGTTTTTATCCCCAGTCAGCTTTCTTTCTTTATATTAAGATATGCATGTACAAGCAGATTTTAATACCATCTTCTTGTTTCATTGAACCTTTTATCACTATAAGATGTCCTTTTACTATTTAATTCCTCCCACTTTCCTCTCATTACTTGATACAGTGTTTCATGTAGCCTCAGCTGATCTTGAACTTTTTATGTATGCAAGGATGACCTTGAACTTTTGACTCTCCTGCCTCCACCTTGAATGCTAGACTTACAAGCAAATGCCATCACCCTTAGTCTAGTGCTGGCCATGGATCTTACAGTCCTGTGCATGTGAGGAAGGCACACTGTCAACTGAACTACATCTCTGTCCCATAGAATTTTTTCTTAAAAATGTACTTTTTTTCTATTTCCAATACAAGCATGCATTGGATAGTACAAAATGATACATATTTTTAAATATTGTGTATGTAATTGTTATTAGCTATGGCTACTCTGCTGTGTAGTAGAATATTGAAAATCGAGACTGGAGAGATGGCTCAGTGGTTAAGAACACTTGATGAGCAATGGCACAAAATTGTGTTTTGGGCTTAACATTCATGTAGCAAGAGAAGCTATTTACAAACAACTGTAACTCCAACTCTGAGGGAGTTCAGGCATGTGTGCATGCATGGAAGTGCCTACACATACATGTGTGCATATACTTATGTAGACAGACACACAGACACACAGACTTGCACACACAACCTTTTTCTTTTTTTAAATCTAGCCTCAGGTGAGTTATGTTTTGTTAATATTTTTAAAAAAATTCTCTTATAGATGCTATCCCAACCACAGTTTCTCCTCCCTCCTTCCCTTCTAGTTCCTCTCCCCCACCCACATCCACATCTCCCCTTTAGAAAAGGCCTCCCAGGGATATCAACCAAACATAGCATTTCAAGTTGCAATAAGATTAGGCACAAACCCTCATATCAAGGCTGGACGAGGCAACTTAGTACAAGGAAAGGGGTCATCAAAGTAGGCAAAGGAGTAGGAGACAGCCCCACTGCCATTGTTAGGAGTCCACAAGAACACACAAGCTAGCAATCATAACATATATGTAGAGGTCCTAGCTCAGACTCATGCAGGCTCCATGATCGTAGGTTCAGTGTCTGTGAGCCCCTATGAGCCCAGGTTACTTGATTCTGCACATACACAGATCTGAAGACAAGAATATCAGGAATTATTCCTCCCATTGTAACAGGTATCCCACCTTGTACACATGAATTACACTTTATTCAACTACTCTCCCATAGCTTCTAATCTCTGGCAATTGCATCCTACTCTCCATGAGTTCAGCTGTTAAGCTTCCACATATAAGTGATTATATATTACCTTTTTATTTAAAACTTCTATGTATAATTAGTTTATGTGTTTAAAAGAACATTAGGCAGAATCCGTCCTTTTACTTGTTCTCAGACAGGGTCTCATTATGTAGGCCAGTCTGACCTTGAATTCCTGAAATTGCTAAAGCTGGGCTCCCATTCCCAATCCTCCTGCCTCTGCCTCCCAGAGGCAGGTACATGTTCCACTGTACCTGACTGGTGGAATTTTTTATGTAATCAGGCTCTGTCTGCCCTTCAATTTGGAATAGTTAACCTACTTTCAATGAAATCATAGGTTTAATGTGGTAAAAATATACTATTTGTTATACATTTATTTTTATTTTTTGGTTTTCATGACAGGGTTTCCCTGTGTAGCTTTGGCTCTCCTGGAACTCGCTCTGCAGACCAGGCTGGTCTCAAACTCACAGAGATCCACCTGCTTCTGCCTCCTAAGTGCTGGAATTGAAGGTGTGGGCCATCACCATCCAGCATACATTTGTTTTTACCTGTCCTCATACATGAACCTTACAACATTATGATTCTATTCACCCTCATCTGATTTATCATGCACTTCCATTATGTATGAGATATTATTACCACATCTATAGTATTTTCCTTTCTCTTATTCTAGCCTTCATGATCATATCTATCCAAGATACACATATATATCCCAGAAGAAATAATTGCATTATATACTAAATACTCAGATTTACCTACAAATTTATTAGTGCCATTGATTTTTTTTGCAGCATAGATGGTTGTATGTAGATCAGATCGACCTTGAATTTAGGCCAATCTTCTTTTTTCTGCCTCATAGGGGCTGGTATTATAAGTATGTGCTGCCAGATCCACAAAGGGATGCTTCTGTTTTATAACATTCATTCAGTGTATGTGTGTGGGTACATGTTTGGAAGTCAGAGGACAACAGGAAACTTGAGGAAAGCTTTCCTCACAATGTGGTCTAGGGAATAGAACTCCAGTGGTCAGGCTAAATGGCAGTTCCTTTACCTGTTGAGCCATCTCACAGTCTGTTTCTTAGTTTAACTTTTTAAGTTTATTTATTTTATGTGTATGAGTGTTCTGCTTGCATGTATGCGTGTGCACCATATGTGTGCCTGGTACTTTAGGAAATCAAGGGAACACATCAGATCCCCTGGAACTGGAGTTACACATGGCTGTGAGCCACCATATGGGTGCTGGGAACTGAACCCCCATCCTCCACAAAAGCAACACGTTTTCTAAACTGTTGAGACATCTCTTTTTCTCAATGTACACATTTTTCTATAGTATTACTGTTTTTATTTGAACTTGAGGTCTTGTTTTTAAATCTTGAAATATCTCAACTAAGATGTGTTAGATATGCTTACCATATATCCTTTAACTTCATCCCTTTCTAGTCTTCATGATAATATTTGAGCAAGATACAATCTGTATATTTTGTTCTGCTTTATGTATCAATTTGTCTAGCTCTTCTTTCAGCCAGGGAATTTGCTTGTGATCCATGAACCATAAAAAAAACCCTCCTAAGATAATTTTTATTATTCTTTAATCAGAAGAGAGTCCAGACTGAGGAATGAAACATAATTTGTCTCAGATAACTCAGCCTGAGAGGGGCAGGATGGTTAGTAACATCACAGACCAATTTCTAAACCTAAACCTTTACCACAGTTTTTGTTTTCTCATTAGCTATGAATGCTCACTTCCTCCCATCTTGCTTCTCATCTCCCAGAAGGGGGGAAACACAGCGAAGTCTTTCAATATTTTTCACACTGTTTACAGATATTTAGAGGGGGGTTATAGCAACTAACAACCTTTATTTGCCATTATATTTTCCCAGGACATTTTTTATATTATATGCTTATATATTGATTTTAATTTAAGGGCACAGTTCCCAAACTAACCCTTTTCAAAGAAGAGTGAGATGTCGGGGTATTTTACGAAGATTTCCCAACTCTACTGAACACATCAGTGACACAATGCGTACATCATTCTACCAGCAGCAAGATGGAGAGCCAGCAATGAGTAATTCTCGCATGTATACTCGAAGAAGATAGTAAGTGACCAGTCATCATGGCTGAAATACACAACCTAGTGAAATGTATAACACTGTGCTTAAATATATCATTTATATCGCCAAGTTGTTGAGCAATCTTTTTGTAGCTTTGGTACAAATAGAACAAATGGTTTTTGGAGAATTTGTAAGTACATGTGGACTACTTTTACTCCATTTCCCAACAGCACTCCATATGGTGTTCCATCCCATCATCAGAGAATTAACTTACACAAACGAAACCAAATGCATGTTAACAGGGAAGGATGGCCAAAACTTCCAGAGAGAAAAATGGAAAGGTGCAAGCAAGATGACACCTCAAAGAACTGGTTCAAGGTCATAGTAAGTACCAAGCAAAATGGATCTAATACCCAGAAGAAGGCGATCAGGAGGCAATATATTGGACTTGTGTAGAGTCATTGGGTCTTTTCTTGGTGCAGGGGAGTTGACACAGGGGTCCCACATGCTGGGTCAATTAAAGAGAAAGTCAGAGAGGCAATATAAAGGGAACAGGTTGGTTGTAGAGAGAAGTCAGGGGGGTGAGTATAAGCAAAGGAAGAAATCAATGCTAAGAAGGTATAAGAGCTAGATGTCTCAGTTTTGCTAAAACTGTATGTGTGTGTTGGAGGAGGTTGTTGTTGAAGAATATTTGGAGTCCTTATTAAAGAAGAAAGCTAGGTCTGCCATAGGTAAGATCTCTTATTATGGCTTTATAAATGAAAGTATATTATAATGTCCAAAAATTAGACAAATGATAAAAAGCAAAGTCATTAAATTTTTTTAAAAAAGATTATTATTTACATATCTGGAGTTTGTTATTGATGAAAACCACCTAAATGAAAGGACAGAAAAGTCAGGAAATCCACAGGTGATATAAAAAATAATAAAATTTGTCCCATCTTTAGAAATTGCTCAAAAAAAGCCAGGCAATGGTGGCACACACCTTTAATCCCAGCACTCAGGAGGCAGAGACAGATGGATCTCTGTGAGTTTGAGGCCAGCCCGGTCTAAAGTTTCAGGACAGCCTCCAAAGCTACACAGAGAAACCCTGTTTCAACAAACAAACAAACAAAAAACAAACAAACAAACAAAAACTCAAAACGAAAAAACAGAAAATCCCTCAAAAAGGAAATTGCTTTAAAATGTAAAACCAAATACACATTCATGTAAAGTGTATAACTTAACAACACTTGGCTGCACATCTGTGAAACCATCATCCCAGTCAACATGCCTGTCAAACATATCCAGCATTCTTCTTGTCTCTCTTTATAATTGCTCTTTTCCATTCTTCCCCCATATTATCTTTTAAAGCAAATCTTGGTTAGTTTTCTACTACAATATATTTGTTCACATTTTCTAGATTTTTATGTAAATAAACTCATGCAGTATGCTATGTGCTGAACACTTTTATCTGATTAAGACTGACTTTAAGTTCTAATGTGCCATTCTTTTCTCCAGTCCTTTATCTGTGTTTGATCCTAGATTCCCTTTGGCCTAAAATATGATGCGAAGTGGCTGTTGAATTTGATTCAGAGCCAGTGCAGTATCCCTTTCACACCAGTGGAGGTAAGAGAGGACATGATGGAAGACAAGAGGAACCAGAACAGATGAAGGGCTCTATTAATCACAACAGTTGCCCATATTCTATTTCTCTCATCCTTATCCATGCAGTTTCACTATGAGAAAATGCAGGCCCAGTTTTTTGTTGATAATCCCAGCCTTGCCTTTGAACTGAAAAATATCAGTGACAAGATTTTGGATGAGTTTAATAACAAGGTATGTGTCAAGAGTGGGACTATGACAAATTGCAAGCCAGAGTTAATATCTTTTATGATCTGGAGGTTTCTCAGTTCTCACTGTCAACACAGACTCTCATGTGTTCATTGTAGATATCAATCTTCATCAGCCCCTGTGATGAACCTAACTCGGTGACAGAGCTGAAGTCAGAAAAGATAGATCAAGGAAAGGTAATGTAGACTGAAGACAGTTTATATAACCACAGCTAGACCTACATCGTTCTCCCCATTTGTTGTCTCTTTTTTAACTACAGCCTCAGAGTCATAGAACTCCATCTGTGCAGCTGGCTACGAGCCAACAGGGTTCTACTTCTCAGCAAGTTCTTAACACACAGAGACACCCCTTTGACCAAGGCATGACTGACAGTAGTAAGTCTGGAGGAAATGAGGGAAGAGGGGGCTGGCTGGGGGGGGGAATTTAAATATTGTAAATTGATGAGGGCTTGGTACTGACAATCTCTCTGTATCAGTTCCCTACCAGCTGGCTGCCTCTTAGTCTTTTGATTCTTTGTTCTTGCTTCCTGAAGGTTTGATGACCCCTCCTTCGGACATGGCACTGAATCCTGGAAGGTACATGGCTCCTTCCCTGGATACCCTTGAAGAGGACATGAGCCAGGTAATACATTACACTTGATGCTGTTTTGAGAGTAAGATTTGTAGAGATCTGTTAGTACTTCCTGTTGTATCATTTAACTCTATTTTTTTCCATCACCATAGCTTTTGCCCTTGAACCAGAGTTACAACAAATCCTATCATCTATTTGACTTGATTGATACTATGGCAATGACCCCTACTGTTGACAACTTGAATGTCTCTAAAAATGAGGTGAGGCATAATACTGAGATATTTCTCGTGTGACAAAGACAAAGTTGTTATCAGAGTGTTGACAAAAGGCAGGGAAGTGGATTTATTGGTAAGAGAACAAGGCACAGAGCTGGGGGTTCAGGAATCTTCTGCTTCTCTTGTCTTGATCCATGTATTTATTCCCATAATTTCAGGTGAAGCCTGCAGGGGCGATAGTCAAGGAGCAAGACCCAGATTTGGAAGAGATACATGCAGACAAAAGTTCTCTGAGTACTACCATCCAGGATAAGTCCAGTAACATAAAGTAAGTTTTATCTTCAAGAGGAGCAGCTCTGGCCCTTTGGAAGGACCACAGACTCACCCTCCCTCTGTCTGTATCCTCAGCTGTCCCCACAGGACTTCTTTCCTTCTGACCTTCCCCTCCATTCACATAATCTGAGATGTGATTCCTATGTTTGAGCACTAAGTGTCCTCCAGCCTGCACTCCTGTGCCCCAGAAAGATGGCACTAGACTCCTCCACTATCCTAACTGGAGCTCCCTTTAACTTCCTATTATAAGGTCACTTCATCTGTCCCAGTCTGCCCTGTTAGCCCAGGATGAGGTCAGGTGTTTTGGAGAACTAAAGCTTTAGAAGTGGGCCAATGCCAGGGAGCAGAGGGCTTCCTGGAGGAAGAGGGAAAAGTGGAGAACCGAAGTCTTTAACCTCTTCTATCCTCTTTATTTACCAACTACTACTTTGCTTATAATGTTACCTAATGTAAAAGAGGATGCTTGTATAGCCTGAGATGAGCAAGTTGATTCCTTGAATTAGACTCCTACTCAGACACACACAGATAGAGAGGAATTCTCTATATTCTCCAGGCGAGAATATAGAGACCACAAGAGACAGCTGCTTCTGGGGAATGTCTCTTTCCTTCAGAAAGATTCATTGTTGCCAGAGTGAGCCCAGTATAGGAAAAATATGAGCCTGCATTCAACAGTACCTAATACTGTAAAGCCTTTGCTTGGATTCTTGGGTCATGGAAACAATCTGGAGAGGATAAAGTAAAGGACTGCTGCATCAGAGCCCTTTCCTCCTCTATTACTTGTGACCTCTGACCTTTAGTACCAGGACCAGACAGAGCATCTTCCATTCTTGTTGTGTGGCTTCCTTTTTCTCCTTTGCTTCTATCCTCTATGTCTCTCCCACATCTACCTCGCCTACTTTCACTCCCTTTTCATTACCATCCCCATGCCTTCCTCTTACTGAGTCCTGAGCCATGCCTTTCTTACCTCCCTGCCCCACTAACAAGGTGATAAAGTCCTGGAATTCCATCAGATGCCTTGCTCCCTGTAAGAGCCTCCTGTGGGGACTGTGAGTAGGGGAAAGGAATACTTGGATCTGGGCTCCCCTTATGTGGCTTTTTGTGAGCCTGAAGAAAGGGATTAGAGCACTGAGTGCAGGAGCTACCCAATAGACCAAGAGAGAGGAGATCAATGGGGAAAACAACCCTCTTTTTCTATGTCTTTCCACAAGGAGGGTATTTTCACTTTCAATTATTTTTGTATGGTTTTGTCCATGTTCCTATATTTATATGTCAACAGATGGATGAATGCATTACAAGTTAATGTATTAACTAGATATGCTATCTAACATATATTAATGGGGTGCCGAGCAATGCACGTATACACATATACCCTGAATAATTCTTAATCAGGTTTCATTTCTTTTTGGTAGTTCAATTCTGGAATTGTTCCCCAAGTTATTAAGCCTGGTAAGTGTATTCCTTGATTATCAAGTTCTCTAACTGGGGCTGGCACTACATCCAACCTGCTATGGAATCTAATAAGTTTTGCTTAAATTAAACTCTTTGGACTTGTCCCTTCTGCCTCAAAGAAATAGGGAAAAGTGATTCAGATTCACAGGGAAACTTGCCAAAGGCAGTTATGATCCCAACTGCACTTTCACCAGTGACATTACCAGGGCCCCTTTCACACCTGACCTCTGATCTCCCTCGTTCTGTAAACGCACCCCTTTCCTTCATCATCCAGCATCACCTGTCAGCTCTGCATTAGTTTTCTTGCCTCCCACAGAATGGGCAGGAATCACCTAAACCAACTCTCTGTAACCTTGAAGACAAAAAGAGTTTACCAAGTTGCAAGGTGAGGAGAGAAGGTTTCAATTTGTGTATAAAAATGGGAGGAGGAGAGGGAATGGAAACTATGATTGGTATGTAAAATGAGAAAAGATTGTTTTAAAATTAAAAAAATGATAAAAAGAATATGAAAAATACCTATAAAATTTACAAAGTGGGCCAACCCCTACATGCTGTTCGATTTATTTCAGGGAAGTTTCTTTGGATCTGAGTCTGTAAAGACTCTGGTGCTACAGTTCCTGCAGCAGTAAGTATCTCTGGGAGCTTGACAAAGGGGAGCAGTAGGGGAGGTGAGTTTATAAAATTATAGCTCTACTTGATGAACCTTTGAACTCTCATTTGGGGCTCAAAGCAATGTGATTTTCCCATCCTATCACTCCTCCCACCAACAGGTATTACTTCATTTATGACAACGGAGATCGGCAGGGACTCCTCAATGCCTATCATGCTGAGGCTTGCTTCTCATTGACAGCCCTCTTCACTTCCATGGACTTATCCTCGTGAGTAACACAATCACCTCAAGCACTGCACCCTGCTCTCCAGCAGAGCCAGGCAATCCCTTGGAACCATTACACTGGCTGGACCACCACATCTGTTTCCTCCTTTTCTCCTAGGAATAACTTGTGTGAGTACTTCAAGTATAGCAGAAATATGAGGGTTCTGAAAGATCCTTGTAAGTGTGCCATGGGTAAGATGGGTCAGGATGAAGGGGGATGGAAGGCACAATCACAGATGCCAGATGCTAAGCTTCCTGTTGTTGCCCTCCCCATTCCTGCCACACTCTCTTGACTCCAAACCAACAGGTACATCTTCCTAGACCCTTCAGCATATGACTATGACTGGAAAAATCTGTATGAGCATGTAAAAAGCATGTGCAACTTCAAGGACACATATCTTTCTCTCACCTCCTTTACAGATATGAAGAGGCAGATGCTGAAGCATAAACAATGTGACATTATTTACTTTCTTCGTACATTGCCCAAAACTCAGCATGACCTCAACTCCTTTGTGGTGGACATGTGTTTCCAGACAGTAAGCACCTGCTTCATCCTTGGGCCTCATCAGAGAGCTGAGGGTGAGTAGAAAGTTATGCAGCACCCTGAGCCCATGCCGTCATCCCTTTCAGGATACGATGCTCTGCTTCTGTGTTAGTGGATTGTTCAAGGAAGGTGAGTGTCTGTAGAATCCCCTCTCCAGACCCTTTCCACTTCCTGCCCTGGGTGTGCACCCCTGAGAACCCCCAGCTCCCGCCATTGCACGCCTTTCCTTCTTGTCCTCCCTTGTGCTCTTCTGCCCACAGCACCCTGCCCACAGACCATTCTGGTCTGAACAAGGGCTGTGCCTGTCTGTCCCACAGCTCCTGGGTGAGGGAGGGCATGGGAGCTGTGGGATTTGTGGCTCTCATTCCAGAGCCTTACACTTTGGGCCAGTTGCTTAACTTCTGCATTTCCACATTTGCCGGTGGTGCTTACTAAACTCCTGCTCACCCTTTAATGTGAAACAGACCAAGTGAACATTGGAAGAGATGTTTCACAGGGAACAGCATGTGGTATGGGATCCATCAATGGGAGTGGATCATTCCTAGCTCTCTCTATTTCTACCACATTCTCCTGTCTCCAGGCTAAATTTTAATTGTTTCTTGCCCCCCTTTAGTATAAGACCCTGACTGGGGAATGCCCTGGTGAGGATATAAAGCACTGACAACTCTAACTGTGCATTATTGTTTCTTGTCCTTGAAGTCGAGGGCAGCTCTGGGGGATGTGCCCATGCCTTCACTCGGACCTTCATTGCTACCTATGGCAACAGTTCAGAGTAAGTCCTGTGTTATGGATAGGCACTCTCTAGTCTTGGGACAGCAGGATGACAATGTGGTGATGTACTTCTTGGGGTATTACCAGTATATTGGAAGGCCTATGGGTAGATTCAAGGTGTAGTCTAGTGTAGTGGCTAACAGTGTAGACTTTGGGGTCAGACTTTTAGGTCCTTTCTTGTAGTACTCACTTATTCTGCGAATTTGGTTAAGTCACATCTCCCATTTGTAACTCTGTCTTCTGAAAGTGTTGATTATAACATCTACTCCTTTTAGCTGATAAAACAATTCTTGAATTAAAGTTAAACCTGCAATTCTATTGATATAAACAGTCCCCAATGGTGTGCCCACTCTCTGGGAGTATTGTAGATAACCAGGAAGGAAAAGCAGGGCAAAGCAATAATGTGGGAAAAATCTGGTTGCTACTCAGTGAGAGCATGGCGATTGTTGGGAAGTATATTTTTGTCTGTTTTCCCATCCATCTCAGGGAATGTTTTTCCTTAAGCTTTTGTATCGTCAATGACAAGCTGTTTGTGAGGAATCTCCAAAGGCTTCACAGTGCCTCCATCTCTGTGACCAAATCTTCCAGCTATTTGCCTGGCCTCTATGGAGATCAACAGAAGATGATGCAAACATTTTATACACAATCTGGCATGAATGTTGAGTGGTCTCAGAAGTGAGTACTGGCTGTACACAATAATGTGGTATGAAGTAGGGGTGGGTTAATGAGTTGTGAAAACATATAGGCTTCACTTCTTTATTTCATCTACTGTCTTACTGAATAGTAGGCCAACTAACCACTTTAAATAGCTATTTGATAATTCCCTGAAATTCACAAACCCTGTTAATTTAATGAGAGACCTTAGGATTTCAGGAATTTGCTTATATTATAGCACAAGTGTCATCTTGCTGAATATCTTGAAATGTATGTAGAAGCATGTTTCTGCCCCATAGATCAGGAAGTGCCTTTGTGCTGTCATTGTATCTTTTCTTATGTCTTAATGGTTGCTGTGTGTTCATCCTCTATCTCAGGTGCCTTAATAATGAAGAGTGGGATTACAGCAAAGCAATACAAAGCCTTGCTTTGTTAAAGGTGAGGTTTGGAAATTAAAACCAAGTAAAAAATGCCAGGTGGCCTGGAAATGATGCTAGTATTCTTGTATCCGCTGATCTCCCAATTGCCTACTTTACCTTCTCCAGGTGAAGGACACAAGCCCAGAGGATACCTTCACACAGACAGGTCCGAGATCCTAAGAACATGTCAAGAAGAAATTCATGGGTGCCACTGTCTTCTTTCTTCAAACCTCTGTTGTGATTTTGTTCTAGTACAGTAATTTCCATGTAAATGAATTGGGGCATCTAGTTACATTCTGGAATCTAAGGCCTATATCTTGTAAACCTAACTCTTTTGTATCTAAAGGAACCGTTGTTTGTGTATTTGCCATGTACTTCAGGTTCCTTGTGTCTTACACTTTATTTTATTATACATTTTGTTAAATTCATTGAGCATTTTGTCTTTATGTAATAACTCTGGTTACTCTCACCCCTCACCCTGTCAAATCTCCTTCCTACCCCTCACTCTTCCCTATAAGTCCTTGTCCCACACTCATGTCTTTTGTGTTATGCCTCTCTGAGTATAAACAGAGCCATCTCTGTGACCACGTGTTTGGAACTGTCCATTGGGCTCACCTGTGGGTACCCAGTGATTGCTTTTCCTATAGAATCCATCAGTAGCCAATAGTTCAGCAGAGAGGGATAGCCCCATTCTATGATTGACTAATGAGAGACCTAGTCTTGTGTAGACCCAGTGGAGGCAAGCTCAGTTGCTGAAAGATTGTGGTAATTATGTCATGCTCAGAAGATACTAGTAATGTTGCTAGTTAATGTTGAATCCCTTCAAAATCTACTGGAGGTACACCATATTATAAGAATTAGTACCTCTCCTGGCAATCCACCTCTTAGGCATATACCCAAACGATCCACATCCATGCAACAAAGACATGTGCTCAACTATGTTCATAGCAGCACTATTTGTAATAGCAAGAACCTGGAAGCAACCTAGATGCCCCTCAACTGAAGAATGTATAAAGAAGATGTGGCACATCTACACAATGGAATACTACTCTGCAGAAAAAAATAATGGAATCTTGAAATTCACAGGCAAGTGGATGGCACTTGAAGAAACCATCCTGAATGAGGTAACCCAGTCATAAAAAGAGGCACATGGTATGTACTCACTCATATATGGATTTTAAACCTAGAACAAAGAATCACCAGCCTATAATTCACACCACCAGAGGAACTAGGATACAAGGTGTATTCTAAGAGATTTATATAAAGTCCCTCACAGAAAGAGGAAGGGACAAGTCCCCCAGAGCACACGGGAAGTGGGGGGCAGTGAATGGAGAGAGAAGTAGGAGAAAGAGAAGGGGAGGAGAGGAAAGCACATGCGACTAGGAAGATTGAGTCAGGGTAGGAATAGAAGACAGGACAGAGAGAGAGAGAGAGAGAGAGAGAGAGAGAGAGAGAGAGAGAGAGAGAGAGAGAGAGAACATAAGAGGAAACTGAACCTAAAGAAAGGTCTAGAGACCTACAAGACTGCCGCCAACTAACATTTTGAGCAACAGTAGAAAGGCTACCATAAATGCCCTTCCTGGATAGTGAGATCAACAACTAACTTATCCACCATCATGTAGCCTTCATCTAGTACCTGTTGGAAACAGAAGCAAACACCCATAACTAAACACTGAGTCAAACTAGAATCCAGATGCAGAGGGAGAGGACAAGACCAGGTTGCAGAAACACAGCTGACCTGAATAAGGAGGAGCTAACGGGCCCCCAGACTGATAGCTGGGAATCCAGCATGGGACTGACTCAGACCCCCTGAATATGGGTCTCAGCCAGAAGGACTGAGCAGTCTAAGGGACCTCAGACAGTGGAAACCAGGATGTATTCCTGGTGCAGAAAAGGACCTTGCGGACACATCCCCCATGGAGGGATACTGCCTTAACCTAGAGACAGGAGAGAAGTCCCAGTCCCTACTTCAAATGACCTGTCAGATCTACATGATCCTACCTGGATGGCATTGCCATACATGTGGAATTGGAGTGGGGGGATGGGAGGGGAGGGTGGTCAGGGTGCATGTGAGGGGGCAGAGAGGGTAAGAGGGAGAGGGAACTGGGGATCAACATGTTAAAAAAAAAAAAGAATTAGCACCTCTAAGGAAGAACTGCTGTAGAGTCTGAAGTCCTACACCCAATCTTAGCCTATAGAGTTCTGCTCTACAGCTTCCTATGTTGGGTATACTCTCTAACACTGTTAAAACCGAGTACAGATGTTCTATGTGCCTATAGTGTTAAGCAAATATTTCATGCAGATACAAATATTCTTTTATTACTCATACAAGTTTACTCAAAATTAAAAACAGTATAATTGTGAAGAACACAAAAAACCTTATGAAGAAAAGTAATTCCCATTTATGTAACAACCGTCATACTATAAAAATCCTTGGTACAAAAAGAAATAAGAATAGTGAAATTACTATTAACTCTATATTTTATTAAAATCAATGATATCCAGGAAACCTATGAAAATTTGTTCAGCCATTAAAAGTGTAAAATTAGCCACAAACACTGAGATAATTTAGAAAAGGAAAGTAAAAATTATTATTTTTAAGAAAAAGAAATTATTCTTCATCTGGCTGGTTCTAATAGGGCCAGGCAGGCCTGTGGTTTCACTTTCCCTGACAGGGCAGGCAGCCCCAGGCAGGTATGTAGGAAGAAAAACCATGAACCTTCCCAGAACCATTAGAACCAGGCAGGTAAAGGAAGGACACTGACATGGCTGTCTGGGCTGCTTACCCTGGGCAAGAAAGAGAAACTGCAGTTGGGTGCCAGTATGCTGAGCAGATATGTGGTAGAGTATTGGAGAGGCAGATCTAAAGAGGGGAAAGTAGTGAGGAATGGGCTAATTGGGAGGTCTGCTTGCCACTCAGAGCCATGGTGACATCTGGTCCTGGGCTGCTGCCAAGGGCCATGTCTGGGTCTGTGGCCCTGCAGCAGTTGATATTTGGGTTGATGTCTATGGCTCCTGTTGCCATGGAAGGTCATGAGGATGCTCAGGATCTGGGCTGAAATCTGAGGCCATGCTGATATCTTGGTGTCATGCTGTTACTGGGACCGTACAAATTTGAATGCTCTGCACTGACACCCAGGATCATGGTGACATCTGGAGCCAGGCTGATGCCAAGGGGCATGTCTGGGTCTGTGGTCCTAGCTCATCTGGGTTCTGTGTTGATGTTCATGGCCCTTGTTACTCCTGTGTTGCCACCAAAGACCTCATGGATGTATGCATTCTGGGCCACCACCTGTGGCCATATTGGAGTCTGAGGGACATGCCACTGCCAGGGCTACACCTATCTGCGTAGCCTGTGCTGTCACCTAGGGCCATGGGGTGATCCAGTTCCTCCTACCTGTGGCCAAGGGGCCATGCCTGTGTTGATATCTATGGCTCCTGTTACCATTGAAGGCCATGCAACTGTCTGGGGCCTGGCCATGTTGTAGTCTGGGGACTATGCTATTGCTAGACTCATGCCCATCTGAGTAGCCTATGCTGCCACATGGGGCCCATTGTGATATTTAGGCCCAAGCTGCTGCTGCTGCTAGCCATATCTGGATTATTGGTACTATGATAGCTGGAGTTTGTGTTGATGTCCATTGCCTGAGTTGCCACAGGGACCCATGGGAACCATTTGTTGAATGAAGTGTTGAAGTACAAGGGTCATGTTGACCGGACCCTAACTTGCCCTGCGAGAACTGTCCCACCCCTCACCAAACAGGTGACTCCACCCCTCACCACAGGCGTGGGAGATCTTGCTCTGTCCCTTTACTGAAGAGGGTGGTCCCAGAGGCCCAGCTGACCAGCTTGGCTACAACCTAGACACCCCCTGGGCTTTGAATGGGCTCTCCCAAACATTTAGTTCATCTATGACCTGCTGGAGTGCATAAAAGGACTGGTCCTCTGGAATCATAGCTCCATGAGTCAGGGTAACAGCAGGATATCTGAGAGGAGATTTGGTGAGGGTCCAGTATTGATGTTGTACCAGAGGTCTTGACATACTACACAGTGAACATTTGCAAGTGACACTGTTTGGACAAAAGGTATACTCCCAATGGCACTGAGACGAATGACAAGGCAATGGGGAGGCTGGAAAGACAGATGAGTGAAGGGTTTCTTGTTTGCTTTTTATTTTGTCTTCTGTTTGTTTGCATGTTTGTTTTTAAATAATAGTCTTATCTTTGTAATTTATTATTTGTTTTTAAGTATTTCTTTGTGGTGAGAATGCTAAAAGAGTGGAGGGCAAATACAAAGGGAGTGGGAAATGAATGGAAATGGGGTTCATGATGTGAAATTCCCAAAGGATCAATAAAAAATTATGTTAAAAAAGAAGAAAAATGGAACATTTGTGTATATGGTATGCATACATAAGTGCGCATCTTTATTTGGAGGCCTTTTATTGTCTAAACATTAAAAAATATGGACTACACTCTGGGTAGTTTAAATGTACACTTATTTATTTTCTCATAATCTGGAGATTATAAATCCCAAACCAAAAAGTGCTAAAACGATCATAAATATCTTGTAAGATTTTCATAAAAAATTTTAATTACCATCAAAGTATAAGGTTTCATTTAGCATTTTATCTTTTTTTTTTTTTTTTTTTTTTTTTGGTTCTTCGAGACAGGGTTTCTCTGTATTGCTTTGGAGCCTGTCCTGGAACTAGCTCTGTAGACCAGGCTGGCCTCGAACTCACAGAGATCCACCTGCCTCTCATTGTAGCATTTTCAAACACACATTTTGAATGGATACTCCTCTCTTTCTCACTTCTCCTCATCTTGGATCTTTCCACCCCTAGTAGTTTCATTTTTCTTTCCATGTCACAAGTGTTCTATCATGGTCCAGTTCCCCTCTCAAGGTCTTATTTCCAGTATGATGGGCCACACACACACACACACACACACACACACACACACACACACACACACACTAAAATTTATAACCCATATATGAAAGAGAACATATGGTATTTGTTTCTTTGAGAGTGAGTCTTGTTTCAATTGACATAATGATTTCCAGTTGCATTCATTTTACTGTAAATAAGTGCCTCTTTTAAATATGCAATTATATTTTCTGTGTTTTGGGATAATTTGATCTCTTCCTTTTTTTTTTTAAACCCATTTGTATCTTTCTCTTGCATTATTTCTCTAGCTAAGACTTCAAGAAATATTTTGAATTAAGGGTGGAGAGAGTAGGAACCCTGTATTCTTCCAAAATTTATAGGAAATATTCTCTATTGCCCCATTAGTGTAATGTTGGCTAAGGGTTTGTCATAAATAGCCTTTATTGTTTTGATTTATATTTTGTCTATTCCAAATTATTCCAGGCCATTTTTGTAACTTTAAGCCATTTACCTGAGCAGTCTAAGGGACCTCTGACAGTGGAATCAGGATGTATCCCTGGTGCACAAAAGGACTTTGGGAGCACATTCCCCATGGAGGGATACTCCCTTAGCCTAGAGGCAGGAGGGAGGGCCTAGTCCCTACTCCAAATGACTTGACAGATTTAGATGATCCCTCCTGGAGGGCATCACCCTCCCTGTGGAATGGGGGAGGGGCAATGGGAGGGGAGGGTGGTTGGGGGACATGGGAGGGAGGAAGGGATAGGGAACTGGGATCGATATGTAAAATGAGAAAAAAAAATAAATAAAACTTTAAGCCATCCAATATAGAGTATTTTACTCTAACAACTTTAGGAGACATTACTATAGAGATATGTGCCTGTGTATACACCTCTACATTAACAAATATTCATTCATTTTTCAGAAAATTACAGTCTTTATTTTTCATTTCTAAATTAATATGTTAGTATCCCCAATTTTGTGTCCTCTTTTAAAAATTTAATAGCTCATTAATTCCAATTTGTGTTGGCTATATACTTCTTGTTATAGAGGCATTCAATGTACTGTGCTAGACCTACCAGGAAGTACACCCTTAAAAAACTACCCCAAATGACTTGACAGACTTTTATGATCCCTCATGGAAGGCCTCACCCTCCCTGTTGAGTTCATGGGGCATGGGCTGGGGGGGGTCTATGAGGACATGGGGGGATGGGAGGGAGAGAGAACTGGGATTAATATGTAAAATATGAAAAAATATTAAAATAAAGAATAAATTTAAAAAATAAACTGACCCCCCCTCCTCCAGAAGGTGCCCATGGTTCCTTAGTTAGGGATGGCAGCTCATGAGCTCTTTTACCCTATTGGCTGAGAAAATTGCATCTATGTTCATCCAGGAAGTTGGCATGTAGCTTTATTTTTCTATTATATAGTTATCCAGATTTGATGTCAGTGTAATAACTAGCTTCACAGAATTGGTGTCATGGTATTTGTTTCATTTCTATTTTGTAGAACAGTTTGAGGAGTATCAGGATTGGAACTTCCTTTAATTAATTAATTAATTAATTAATTAATTAATTAATTAATTTTTCTTATTTTACATATATTGATCCCAGTTCTCTCTCCCCCCTCTCTCTTTCTCTCCCTCCCATGCCTCCCCCAGTCCATATGTAGGGAGATGCCTTCCTGGAGGGGTCATCTAAATCTGTCAAGTCATTTGGAGTAGGGACATTTCTTTAATGTTTGATAGAATTCAACAGTCATTCTCTCCAGTTTGGGGATTTGCTTTGTGGAGAGTCTTTTAATTACTGTGTCAATTTATTTGCTTTTTGTGTCTTTTTAAATTTGTTTATATCATCTTCTGGATTTAATTTCAGCAGGACCTAGGAGTTTAGAAATTTAGTGATTTTTTTTAAGTTTTCCATCTTTTTAGGATAAAACTCTTCAAAGTATTCCACAATCTGGACTTCACTGAATTCAGTTTTAACACTCCCCTCTCATCTCTGATTTTATTTACTGGAGTTATCTCTTCTGTTAGTTTGGCTAAGATGTTAGTATTGATAACTTCGAAGAACCAATTCGTTGGTTGCACGTATTGGTCTTTTAGTTTTGATTTCATTAATATTTGACTTAATCTTCATTATTTCTAACCATGTGTTATTTTTTTTGACAGTATCTCATTATGTAGCCCCAGCTGGCCTGGCACTTGCTGTGTTTACCAGTCTGGCCTCAAATTTACAGAGTTCTTCCTGCTCAGTGGTCTGGAGGTATAACAGTTATAATAAGGATCCCAGCAGTACACACCTTCAGTGTTCCAGAAGAGTTAACAACCAGAACACAGAAAGAATTCTACCTAAGCTGGGTGCAATGAAGAGCAGACACTCTTGGGATCCCCCTTTCCCCTCACTCAACAGACCCTTGTATACTTTACATGGAGTGTACAAAAGTTTAAGATACTTTTGAGGTTTCCAATATGGGCACAGACCTCCAATCTATGCTAAAAGGTTATTTATCAGGGAAGGAGTTGCGAAAGAGTTGGAGAAGAGATGCCAAAGGTGATTTCTCCACATGGCTTGGAAATACACAACAGGAACCTGAACACAGAAAGTTCAGGGCTCTGGAATTTGGTGGTAGGGGAACCAGCACTTTAGTAGCCTCTTTTCAGAGCAGAGCTGATCTATCTCATATATCTCAAACCGCGTGGGTACCCTTAAAGCTTTCTTCTTTTGCTTAAGTCCTTAAAGCCATGCCTAGTAATAGCCATTAATTTTCAGTTGTTAGCAAAAGCCTTTCTACAATTAAAAATGATGGTAATCGTAGGATAAAACAGAGCAGAAATATATAACACTTACTTTTGGTTCCAGAATGGAAAAAGGATTGCTTACTTAAAATTGCTGGGTTCTACAGTTGGAGTTGTTCTTTAGATACACTTAGATGATTTTAGAAACACAGATTGTGTTCAGAGACATTCTCTGTTTTGTTTTTGTTTATGTCTTTCCAGAGAAAAAGCAAACTAGAATGTTCTAAAAGAGTTTGTGGCAATCGAAATACATGTATTGCATTCAGTACAGGTGAACATAATGTTTTGTTGTTGTTTGTTACTGTGACAGCTTTCAAACATTTAGTTAAAAAAAATCAAATTTCCTGCTTTTCAAAAATTGCTGCATGAAAATTTGTTGTTTTGAAAGAGGGTCTCATTCTGTGTCTCAATTTGATTTGGAATTCCCTATGTAGTCTATACTGGTCCCAATTTGTGGTCAGTCTCCTACTTCAGCCTCTCTAGCGTCAGGATTTCAAGGCACCAGTTGTGGCTGAGACTCATTATTATTTAAAAATAAAGAGAAATTGATAGAAAGGATCTATACAGATGTAAAGAATGGAGAAAACAGAACATCAGGGTGAGGGTGTAGTGGTGCTGAACCAAGGAGGTTAGTGCAGACTCTCCCTGGTAACAGGGAAGGGAGAAGTCCAACCTCCAGATGGTGATGCCACTTGTGGGTCCTCAGATTGGCGAGGATCTGGATGAGTGACAGCTGAGGCGTGACATGCGCGCTTGAGGCAGGGAGGTGGAGGCGGGGCCTCCTGTCTCACTGGCCTCCTGAGTTGCGGAGGGAGCTTGGCGGTGACGCGGGGCCCTCACGTGACCTGGGGCTGCAGAGAGACGCAGCCTTGGGTGCAGTCGTCACTCGTGTCTGGCCACCAGCTCCGTGCTTCCCTGCGCAGGGCGGGCTGGCATCGGGCCCTGGGCGAGCAGAGCAGGTAAGAGGCCCATACGCAGCGGCCCTGAGGGCGACAGCCTCCTGATGCTCCGGAGTGCGGTGCAGTGGCCGCGCGGCTTTCTGCACCGCAAAGAGATCGGTGGCTGCGCCCGGGAAGGGACGCCCCTGGGCAGCCGGGTGGATCTGTGGAGGAGAGCACTGGACCTAGTCCTGGAGAGCGGGATAAGGGACGGGGTGATGGTGGCTGTGGGAGGCTGGTTAGGAGGATGGTAATAGGGGTACTGGAGGAGGCGGGGCGCGGTACTGCTCTGAGCTTGCTCCCATCCCACCCTGTCGCAGGTCCAGTAGCCGAAAGTCGCTGCAGGAGCATCTCGGAGCGACAATTGAGAGGAGAATTGCACCTCAAGGGATAGGCCCAGGTGGGTTCAGGGACTCTGTGTGTGTGTGTGTGTGTGTGTGTGTGTGTGTGTGTGTGTGTGTGTGTGTGTAGCTAGCGGGGGTGGGGTGGAGGGCTGTGTGCGCGCGCGGCGCGCGTGTGTGTGTATTGCAGGGGTGGGGGTGGAGGATCGTGCGGAAAGCCCTGTCTGGAATGCTATCCCCCTCCCATCCATTCTTTTTCACTTTCCATCTATTTCCCTTCATTCTACCTCCCATCTCCCCACCACCACCACCCCCCACCATTCCATCCACCAGCTCCATCCTCCATTTTGATGCCTGCAAAAGCCTTGGAGATATATCTACAGGGAAAATGGTGGCTTGTGGGGAAGGAGGGGATGGGACTGGGGGCCCTCTAGAGGGCGTGTTGAGCCTTTCAGGTAGGAAAATAAAATTTGAAAAACAAAGTAAACATATGGACATCCAAGAGAATGATTGTTGGAAAATGGGCCTCTGTCCTCGGTGCTGAACTTTTCAATAATTCCCTTGTGTTCCAGGAGATATGGAGTCCAAAGATCAAGGAGTAAAAAATGTCAACATGGAGAATGACCACCAGGAAAAGGAGGAAAAGGAAGAAAAGCCGCAAGATGCTAACAAAAGGGAGCCGCCAGTGGCCCTGCCTTTGGAAGCTGGCGAATACTGTGTACCTAGAGGAAGTCGCAGGCGGTTCCGTGTTAGGCAGCCCATCGTGCACTATAGATGGGACCTGATGCATAGGGTTGGAGAGCCCCAGGCAAGGATGAGAGATGAGAACATGGAAAGGTTTGGGGAGGATATGAGACGGCTCATGGAGAAGTTGAGGGAAAGGCAGATGAGCCATAGTCTGCGGGCAGTTAGCACTGACCCCCCTCACCATGACCATCATGATGAGTTTTGCCTTATGCCCTGAATCCTGAAGTTTTATCTGAAGATGATATGGGGACCCCTGATTCCAAAACTTACATGTTTGTGGTGTACTGTTGTAAAATTTTTGATGTTATTTGTTCCTCCTGGGTCTCCACTTACCGCCAGCTTCTAATTGAAACTTGTGTTTTTGATTCAGTCTTAAAAAATTTTTGTTAGCAGAATTTATCTAATGCATGGAAAGAAGCTCATTATATATTGTGGAGCTAATAAAGCAGATTTAAAAAGCAATCTTACTATTTATTATTTAAAAGCTTCTCATATATGTCACACACAAAGGGGAAGTGGCAGAATTAAATTGTAAAAGGATTAATACTGGGAGTCATTTCTGTAAACATAAGGTAGACAAACAGGAGATGTTTTAGAACCCTGGGGCCCCCATTTGGTTTTGGTCATGCCCACCTCCCAATAGTATAATAATATACTTTGCAACTCATTTCTTTCAATTGTGTGTAGTATACGCACACCGGTCTCTACACAATGCACCCAGCAATCCCAGAACCCCTCACATTCTTCATGCTTCACACACTTCCTTGAACAAATAATAGTGTGTTTTCCCAGCCACCCCTGCTAACAATCACATGTTTATCATTTCTATTCAAGTGAATTCTCGAGTATGTGGGTGTGGAGAAGAGAAGGGCTGATCCTTCTGTCTCAGATTGGTTTTGGGTACATGCACAGTAAGGCAAAATTATATAGTTTATTACATTTTTAAGTATAATCTCTTATTCACCATTGTATGCCTATGTAAAACTGGGCATGCACTATTAAAATCAGATGCATTGCGGGACAGGACATGTGTATAAGGGAATATGAATGCATGACTTGATCTATCAATCCAGACTAAGTCCCATGGTACCCTTCTCTTATATACCATAAAATGAAGCTCTGAACTATAATGGGGACCTTGAGTGTTCTCGTTTCATGTGGCTTACTGTGAATCTTGACAAGATATCCCTTTATAACCTACATTATTGCTTTGCTTTGAACAAAATTCACCTTATTTCTTTAGTAAATTTTGAGGCCTCCCCCCCCCCATTATTTGGTTAAGAGACCTGGGACGTGGAAACACTTTCCCCAGATCCAAACAAGTAACAAAAAAGGTATGATCTTATACTTTTTGCTCATGTTATAAAATACCTGGTATGAACAACACAAAGGAAGGAAAGATTTACTTCAGTGGCTGATTACAAATGTTTTAGCCTATTATTGTGGGGAGGATGTTATACAACAGAGTAGCACACACTATGGTTGCTGGGAGTGGGGGAAGGGAGAGAATGAACATCACTTTCTCTGCTTTTGTTCCCTCCCTGACCCCAGCTAATGGGATCCTGCTGTCTTCCTTAGGAGTGAGTCTCTCCCGTTGTTATTTTCACTTTCATAGAGACAGAGGTCTATTTCAGTAATCCTTTAGGCACTTCTCAATCCAATCAATTTGTTGTGAGAAATATAGACCACTACACTTGCTGGTTTATTTTTCTCTGTAGTTGGAGAAAAGAAATGCAATATGTTTAATTGCTTTATAAAAGAAACAAGGCCACTTAATACTCATTAGCAGAAATAGCCACACAGATAAAGCAAGCAATATTTATTTACTTATTTTTTTTTTTTTTTTTTTTTTTTTTTTTACAAATCAAGAATGACGTTGCTTTCACACAAGTGAAGCAAGGTCATGAGGTTATAGTGGTTTATCAAGTTTTCATCCATCCTTACCTACTAGGCAAGAGCCCTGTCTGCATATTATTCCCTTTAGGTAATAGGAAGTGTCTGAGACCAGGTTGCAGTATTTTGGCAGACCTCCTATTTCCTGATCAAGGATCCAGCATCTGCTGATCATGCTATGATTTCTGCCTGACTAGAAGCAGGCATGTTCAAACAGAAAAATCATGATTGCATCTGGAGCTTTTTTTTTTTTTTTGGTCTGAGTACAGTTAGATAAATAACTCCAAATGTATAAATTCTCTTTCTAGAATAGTTTTCTTGCAATTTTTAAAAGGATATTGGACTTATTTAGAAATTCCTGAATGTTCCTGACATGCTAATCTGTTACTGGTACAAGAATCATCTGGCATCTATTAAAGTATGGGTTCACTAAGTGGGAATCTAGAACTTTCATTTTTAACAAGCACCCTTGGTAATTCTACTGCACATTAATGTCTAAAAGATTACATATATATATATATATATGCATATATATGTTTATATATATGTATATCCTTATATTATCTATTCTTAAATAGGAACCATAATTAACTACATGTTCTTTCTAGTGGATCATACAGTAATAAAAATAATATGCTTATTACAATCACCTTTATTTTTTCTGCAAACCTATCTTTAACCATCATTGCTTGAGCATTGTCTGAATAGATGCCAACACAACTTTTCCACTGTAAATATATATTTGAAGAAATATTGTCTTAGTTAGGATTTCTATTGCTGTAATAGAACACCAAAACCAATCATAACTTGGGGATGAAATAATTTGTTTCACCTTACAAATTATAAGTCCATCCCTGAAGGAAGCCAGAGCATGAACTCAGGGTAGGAACCTGGAAGCAGAAACTGATGGACAGGCCATGGAAGAGTGATGATTACTAGCTTGCTCTCAATGGCATACTCATACAGCTCTCTTATGTACCCCAGGACCACCTGGACAAAGGAGGAACCTCCAACCATAGGCTGTAAAATGCCAGGCTCAGTCTGTACCGTGATTGCAACTTTGTAAACTTTGTAAAAGACCTTGAGGCAGAGGACTCAGATAAATCCCCCTGAAATTCTGACTTAAAATCTCTAGGATCATAAGGTCATATTTTTTTTTTCATGTTACATTTTGAATCAATTAATACAAAATAGGAAATAAAACATATTTTCTTTATATATATATATGTGTGTGTGTAAATGTGGGAGTTGTACATGTCTGTGTGTGCAGGTGTGTACAAAAGTTTGTATGCATGCATGTGGAAACCAGTGTTGTTCTATATATAATGTCCACTTTTTGTATTAATTTTATTTACTTATTTCACGTGTATGGTTGTTTTGCCTGCATGTATGTCTATTAACTATGTCTGTGCTTGGCACCTGAGGAGGCCAAAAGAGGGCATTGGATCCCCTGGAACAGAAATTATAGACAGTTGTGAGTTGCTTGTGGGTGCTTGGAATTGAGCTCAGGTCCTCCAGAAGAGCAGCTATCTCTCCAGTTCCTATTATTTTTATATTTAAGATAGGGTCTCTCACTGACCAAAACTCATCAAATAGACAAGGTTGGATGCCCAGTAAACAGCAGGGATTGACCCATTTCTACCTTTCCAGTGTTAGGTTTACAAGAACTTGACACCATGTCAAACTTCCATGTTTTATAAAACATTGACTCTGAGGATAAAGTGCAGGTCCCCATCATTTTAAGGCAACCTCTCCAGCCAAAACTGAATGTTACTTATTAAAAAAAACACTAGAAAAATATTTTTTGCACATTAAAATTTCAGTGTACAGCCAGTAATCAAATTCTCAACAGTTTAATAAATCTTAACCAGAAATTATATGAATTAATATAAATTATTTGTCTAGGGAATACTTTTTGCCTTTTCATGCTGTAAGTTTTTCTACAAAATGGCATATATTTGGAAAAAGCTGTCTCAGATTCACTATAGACCTGGAGCTACAGACTATGAAAGTCTAGCAAATGCTGGTGAAAAGCCAATATTTTAGATGAAATGAAAAGTAAGGATATACTGAAGGTCAATGAGGGATTTCACATGTATAACAGATTAATTAAAAACAAAACATTCATTTCAGCCAGTAGTGGTGGTGCATGCCATTAATCCTACCACTCAGAAGGCAGAGGCAGGCAGTTCTCTGAGTCTGAAACCAGCTATGTCTACAGAGCAATTTCTAGTATAGCTAGGCCTATACAGAGAAACCCTTTTTCTAAAAACTAAAAACAAAACCAAACAAACAATAAATTCACTTTATGGTATGATATCTTATTTTGCCAAAGTTTGATTAAAAAATATAGTTAATCAAAATTCTTACAAAGTTTATCCCTAGAAAAAGAAAATAATTGCCGGCAGAAACAGAAAATCGAAAAAGTTAGAAATATGTAGACATTTCTCTACCACACTTGTGGTAAACATCTATAGTGAAAAGTTATATTTGGTCCTCTCTACAAAAAAATGTTAGAGTGAAACAATAGGGTGAAAAAAAAAAAAGAAGGAACAGGCATTTGAAGTTCTTTAATCATCTGATTTGATTGAGTAAGCAGTGACATATGTTAACAAAGAGACCTTTAGTTTTTTTTTTCCCAAGAAGCTCAAAATTTGAATATTAGTATGAATAGATGGAGGCTATAATCTGTGAAATCAGGGAAACTCTGTTCTTAGAAATGGGAATGCCCTCAGGACTATAAATTGGTAAATATGATAATATACACTATTTTCAATTTCTGTTGACGAATTGTCAGTAAAGTATCTGTTTGTATAATTCTGAAAAGATTGGGAACATTAAATATTTAATCAATGTCATCTCCATTGCCATGTAGGCATAGTTATAGAAGTGTTTCAGAGAAAGAAAATTGATGGTGACAATGACAACAGTGATTATATAGCAGGACCTTGTAGATATTTTAAATGGCTTGAGGTTGAAACAAATGGAAGATGAATGGCAAATTTTAGATGTTAGTGAAGGAAAATTTAAAACTGATGTCAGAAACGTAGAGTAAGAGACAGCAAAGTAGAGAGAGTGTGGAAACACAGCACAGGAAAACAAGGCAAAACAATTCATGGATTTGAACCAAAATATCCAGTTGGCCTGAGAAGGAAAAGGCATTATAAACAAGTATTAACTAAGAAGTATTTAAGGTTCTAAAGTACATGTTTAAATAGAAGTAAGAGTTTCAGAAAATTTATAGTAAGTTGTTACAATAGAACTGGAGAATAAAATTGACTTGAGTGTCAGAGTTATAAAATGTACCACACACACTTAGAAGTGTTGTAATTCACTGAAGAAGTCCATGTAAAGATATTGGGTATGACCAGGTGGTGTTGGCACACGCCTTTAATCCCAGCACTTGGGAGGCAGAGGTAGGGGAAATCTCTATGAGTTCGAAGGCATCCTGCTTTACAGGGTGAGTTTCAGGACAGCCTAAACTGTTACACAGAGTAATCCTGTCTCAAACAAACAAACAAACAAAAAGTTGAATACAAAATATATTTGTATCATCATAAGAACAAGTA